CTTCACTTACCACATTTCGATGCTCTTGGAAATGGGATGTTTTGCGCACAACGACTAACCAAAATTAATATAAAAAAGCAAAGTTACCATTAAAAAGATAAATCACAAATAACGCACGCAAAATATCTTTGATGATAAAATAAAAAAAAAAAAAACCTGAATATACAGATCAATATTGAACTTGAATGGTCTTGCCCCGAAGTTTGCCTCTATGCATTCCCCGCGAGTTCTCAATCCCACAACAGGGTAAATGTTCCCTTGCAAAACATGTTCTGCTGCAATGCCTAATCCACAAGATTTGCAAATGAGATAACAATGAAAATTCTGAAGGAAGTTAAAAACACAGAAATCATCTTGATGACAATGAAATCGATCTTACCTAAATTAATCCCATTTTTGGTGAAGAATACCTGATTGTTGAGAAAGTTCACGCAACACCCAATGGTGTCTCCTGAGGTGAATTTAGGTCCGTAAAGATTTCCTAGACCTCTTCCAAAGAATCGGTGACCATCATCGCCATGATATCCTAACGATCCAAAAACCCAACCTTTTAAATAGAGTGATGTTATAGATTAGAGTCGTCACAAAATCCCAAGTTTGATTGTAAATGACGAACCTGGTAGAATGTTGCGGTTACAGTCCTCTTTGATAATTCCAATGCCGATATACCTAATATTTGTACATGAATATATGCATTATATGCAGCATATACCGATTAAAATGAAAAGTTCATTACCCGTTTTCACCTTTATCTATAATATCGATTTCAAAATAATATAACAGAACGTCGCGAGGAATGTGCTTGTCGGCAACAACACATTCCGCCTCCGAATCAAACAATCCCGGTCCTAAATGCGACAGTGATCGAAGAACGACCAGCATAGATTAGATCATGTTATTAACCGGCTTCCATAGGATTAAATTACCAATATATTTGACCCTCAGTCCATTATTAATTACTTCTGTATAATCATTGAAATCATCGTTCCAACAATCCGGTAAAGCGAGTTTATTCGTAAAAGGTTTGTATTCATTATCGATTATTTTGTAAAGGTAATTTGGTACAGAAGACAACAATGAATCCATTATATGAGCGGGAGAAGTGCATGCCGCCAAGTTTAACGTTTAAATGTTTTTCAAATGAATCACGTAATCGCGGAATTGACCAATAAAAAATAGGCTGAAATTGTTTTATGCATGTGTCTCAAAAAGTAAGGCCCGATTTAAAAATAAATTAAAACGTGACATTCTCCCCTTTTCAATACTTGTGCAAAAAGCCATTGTGATGCAATATAAAACCTGCATAAATTTTTAAAATAATGTTGGGATTTGTTTACAATATATACTATATAGTTATCAAGAAATCTTATATTTTAAAAGGTTATATAGAAATATAGTGATATTAAAAATTGTTTTGGAATCTTTAATCACGATTTGTACAATATCTAGTAGTTCAATTATCACTAATTCAAAAAAAATTATTCAATATATTGTCACTCACATAATATTTATCAAAAAAAATATTATAATTTAACAATAAATATTATAAAAACTAATATACAATATAGAACACTTACTTTTGAAAATTTTTAATTCATTATAATTTAATAAAAAATTTTTTTAAAATATATTTATTGAAATCTAAAAATTTATTTATTGAAATTTATTTAATTATTTATTAATGAATTTCTTATTTGATGATACATAAATTTAAACACAATTACTTTGAATTCATTTACTTTTTTTAGCACCAATAAATTCTTTATTATTTCTTTTTGTTTTTAAAAAAGGATGGCAATAAGTTATAAGATAAATTTTCTTTTATCGAATTTTATTTGATAAATAAAAATAATTTATTTGTATAATATATATATAATTATTACTTAATTCAAATAAAGCAAAACTAAATATATATCACAAATTGTATAAAAAATTATATATATATATATATATATATATATATATATATATTTAGTCATTACTGACGGAAGTTTATTAGAGTTAAGATTAGAAGTACATATGATTACATGAGTAATTCGTGTAACTAATTTTAGTGCTATCTAACCTCATATCTTATAAACCTACTTAATTTTACCTGAAGGTACCATTATATCAGTATGCCCTGCTCTGCCCAGGCCGTGATGTTCACAAGGATCCATCACGAACTTGTATTATTTATATTATCGAAGGGCTAGGATATGTTACCATTATATGGAGGTATTGAAACTGTTTGTGTTCCAATGTAAACATAATACCATATTTAGACTGCTAAATTATCAGTTATTATTCAGAACTTATGATTTGATGTGAGATCCCAGCAGCTGAATAGTGTATCATGTTTGACTTTCATCTTCCATTTAGCCATTTTTAACTACTCTTCAAATATGGTCTTTCAGAAGCTTCTCTTGGTTACTTCATAGCGGATTGCTCCTTCCATTGGATTGGTTACCTTAATGATTGTTTCCAAATTTCTTCTTCCAGGGTCTGCTCCTGCATTTCCCATTGTGAGTCTTGATTCAACATTACTCGACCTTGGTAGGGTAGGTCATCCTTTTGTGGTAGCTGTTAGTGATCGACAACACATGTCTCCCAGTATATATCCAACCCATTACGTCTTTAACTGGTGCAAGTAACCGAGGTCTCCCAGTCTTTCACAAGTGAGTTTTTTAAGAAAAGATGGATATTGGCATCTAGATCGTCGGAAGAGGACCAATCAGTTTCCTTCTTCAATCTTTATATATTCCGATCAGCATAATGTTGTTGTTGTGGTAGGCACTAAAACCGGCCATAACCTGTGTGACCTGTTTGAGAATCGTGATCAGACGATAAATTTCTTTAGATGATATAGTTCCCCATGATCTGCACATTATGATGTGATACAGTCTGGAAAAGCCTCACCTAAATTGCATATGTTATTCTTGAGTGGGATTGAACCGACACATGGTGGATAGTGACCTGGGAGTGCACTCACTGCACTATTGACCCACAGGTCTATAAATAAATATTTGAATAAAATTTTTAATAATATTTATATATAATTTAATGTAAACTGGTTTGATCTACTAATCCTCTTTTTTCTCAAAAATTTTCTTTTTTTATAATTTTTTGAAAAAAAGCAAACTTGGTCAAACACACAAGGAAAACAATATAT